CTGGAAGGAAACTACATTTGAAGGTTCTCCAGCACCAGAGTTATTTAGACAGGGCAGGTGTGCTCTGAGAGATCCAAAGCTCTGCAATGTGCACTCACTGTAACTCCCAGTGATTCCGTTGCCAAAGTCAAGTTCCACGGCACCTTCCTCACACCTTGAGGGCATAATAACATTGTCAAATAGACAAAGCTTGAGAGAGCACAATGCCATATTTTTGATCAGGTCAAATATAAAAAGAAGCCTCCGTGAGTGTACGTCACCTTGGATTGAGCACGAATATCTAGACATCCTCTCAGAGCAAGAGAGCTCTTTCATGAACCTATTACAAAAGTAAGCCACCATCCTCTTCAAGTCCATTCTAAATAGCTGAATTTGTACTAGAAAATGTGACTTGTAAGGTAAATTTAAAAAATGTTAAATATCAAAGAAGTCCAAGCAAAAACCTTTATTTGAGCTCAGCAGTGGAATGTTTTGGATGAATAATGCTAACTACTCATCTTACAGTCTTTCTTTGATTTGCCTTGGAAATGACTTATTAATAGTACAATTTTTTTGCAGTATATGAAAAAGGTAAATAGAAAGCTTGTGTGGAGAATACATCTTACAGGGTTTCCAATTCATTCTGGCGCAAAAAGATCAATGATTTCTATTTTAGGTTAAATCATGAATATTTTCACCAATTCGTACAAAAAAAATCCAAAAATTAACTTTATTCATTAAAAATATCTCTTCTTAGAAACTTGTCTATGTTAACAAACATTTTTCTAAAGAACCTATCACAATCTGATGGGGCTATCATGTTTAGCCCATCTTCAATCGAGCTCATTAGATGCTCTCCAAAACTTGGATTAGAAGATCTGTACTTCCTCAAATCATCACACTCTCTCCACCATGCTTCATGGTGGGAACCAAATTTTTATTTTCATAGCGAGCACCATTATTTCGTCATATATTGGCCATTACACCAAACTGGAAAATGTTACATTTACATTCGTCAGAAAAATCAACTACTAAGGCAACTACTAAGGCTTTCTGCATGCAGCTCTGCAATAATATCCACCACAATTAAGAAATCGTTTTATCGTTGTGGAGAAACATGTATGATCTGCTTTCTTGCTTCATTTGCTAGCCTTTTTAGTATATTAGGATTATGCTCTAGAAAGAACTATTACTTTTCTTGCCAAAAATAGTGAAAAGATTGTTCATGATCTGTCTGTAGCTTATATCGGTTTTTGGAGAATGGGAGTTTTTGATAAAACATTTTTTTAAATTGGAGAACTAAACAGAAGGTGCGAGAATGACTAACAAAAAAAACAGTCTCATTACAAAATAAAACCTTTTCCTTTAACATCCTCAATATAAAATCCCGCCATTCACCATCAGTCAGCCAAAAATCTGTGCAACCATCTAGCATTGATAGCAGACTTATACCTGTCAGTGCTTTTTTATCACATTCTTCTAGCTCCTGCACACTAAAACCCTCACTCCTAGTTGTATATCCATTTATTTTTTCTTTCATTTCTGGAAACATTTCAGTTTTCTCCCTGGTTTGGTCACATAGAATAAAGGTGACATGTTTTTTTATTCTTATCAATCTTGTTTACCTCAATGTTTTTTTGAATAAATTTGTACAAATCAAGTTGTTCTTTCTCAAAGTATTCGATTCTAGACACTTTTTCACCCACATGCTCCTCTTTTGATTTATTTTCGTCTTCAACATAGGCTTTTTTTTAGATGCTCTACACTTTTTTTCATAAGAGTCCTCCAGCTTACAAACCTTGCAGTAAAAATTTGATTCTTTGTTGTCACTCGGCTTTTTGGAAAATTCTGCGACGAAGTCCTCCTCATCCGTAGTCTTGAAATCATGACCCTCCACACAAAATCTTCTTTTATCAAGCAAACAAATATAATCTATTCAATACATGGGCTGCAGAGTAAAATGTGTCGTAAACCTGGATGACTATAGCTGAATTTATTCCCCTTGATACAGCTATATCTAAGCTATAAGGCAGCAAGGTTATTCCTTTTAGCTGTAAATTGTTAAGAAACAGATTTATTAGCGCTATAATCTCGGTTCTGCTTTGCCAGGCAACAAATGTTATTCCAATGAATGTTTCTTTTTTCTTTTAAATTAAATTGTGAAAATAGTCTCCCAGTACATCCATTGCCTTAGTAACACTGTCGAACTTCTTTTTATTTATATGAAGGTTTTCAAATTAGTCATCAAATTGAACTGGATCACACTCTTCTAAAAGTATTTTATCGTGTGACATGCAACTATAAATGATTCTATCGTTTTCTTTGTAATAACTTTTCATCTTGTACTGTTCGCGTGTGTAATATGAGGCTTCGGTCTTTAAAAAAAGCTCTGAACGTATTTGCTGGGTGTAACTATCTGAGTAAGTGGAGATATTGTTATTGGTTTTAGATTATTCGGCAGTTTCATAGGGGTTGTCTCTAATCAAATAAAGGGATCGTCCATTCCTGCAAAAACTTGAAAAATCATGAGAGTCTTTTCTGTGAAATCTCCGCAAATCCGATAATTTCCATGAATACACACCTATATCGTGAAAGAGCCAGTTGCTATTGCAGCATATTGTTTTAATCGCCTTGAGTCATATCTCTTTCTATTTCCGAACAAGCCATGTGTCCTAAACATTCAAACAAACATTCTCCTTTTTAAGCTATAAAAAGTGTGCCAAAACCACATGAGAAAATTATACGAGAAACAACTGAAAAAAAGGTTGCAACAAAAGATGTCTGGCAGTGTTCTGTTGCATTTGCACGGATGAAAAATGCATAGGTTTGGCACACATACTCTCTGAATATGGCGATATATTTATGTGCAAAAATATCAGTAAAACCATAAAGAAAGACGGCATTTCACGTGAGTACATAGACAAGGGCTGCATAATGCTCGATTCGATTTCTATTTCTACATAACAAGTTTCATGGAGGAGCGCGAGTGCTACAACAAATCGCTGATCAGGCTCCAATACAAGGACGACAAAGGCGAGGCCTTTCGTTTTACAGCTGACAGCAAGGAAAATATCCATCCTTCCGTACCAGATTCCAACGAGTTAAATACATTTAACCTGGCAGATACATGTTCCTCTATGACCAAGGAGCTGGAAAATCATATTTTCTGTAAATTTATTAACAGGGAATATTTTCCGGAGGAGGAAGTGCATCTACTCGAAGGCCTACTGTATCTTCTTCTAGAGAAGTTTGAGGTCTCCAAGGACTTCTTCCTTAGATATTTTGCCATCAGAGTGATCAATCTGACCTGCAAGTATAGGCAGATAAGATATAAGTACTCGTGCATTCTCACACAGATCTTCTACGACATGCAGACCATGTACGAAGTAATCATGAATGAGTGTTACAATAGCAAACCACTGGACATATCGTCCAAAAATTCCTGCACTTTATCGTCGATATGCTTCATCAATCCAAGATTTATGTTCAAGGACTACGAAAACTCAGTGAGCGCTGTGTTACATATCTTGGAGAATATCGGCAAACCGAATGTGCATGAGAATCCGCAATTTGAAAACTTGCTGAATATTTTTAAGATCCTGTACCTGACCAATGAGCGAATGCGCGTGTACAGCTACAAAGGTTTTTATCTGCACAACTTTGGCAAGAGGATTGACGTCAATGAGGGGTTTAAATACTATTAAAAAAAGGAGAGAAGTCGATATTCACCTACACATTTATACTTCCATTATGAAAAGAATCTGATTTTAAGTACGAGAACAGCCATCTGATCAAGGAGTCGCTGCAGGAAACGTTTTTCAGAGCACTATTTGAAGGCGAGAAGGTTCCTTATTTCTTCATAAAAATTAACAGAAAAACCATTTACAACGAGACACTAAAACTATTGGAAAAAACACCAAATTTTGATCCGAGAAAACAGATTAAAAAAACTTTTAGCAACGAAGAGGGTCAAGACTAGGGTGGAGAGAGAAAAAGAGTATTTCCAGTTGCTTAGTGAGGAAATAAGGGAAGAACAGAAGCTGTTCGAACCAAAAAGCAAGACATTGTCGTTTAGGCTTGATTTAAACAACCAAAAGCCAGAATTTGAGTCCATTGGAAAAATCGTTGGAATAGCTCTGTACAACAATGTTGTGCTGAACTTGTCCTTTCCCACATTGTTTTTCAAGAGACTGCTGAACAAAAACACAGAACTTGCAGATTTAGAGGAGATTGAGCCATCGTACATCAATGTCAGTAAACTTTAAGAGACCTGTGTCTATAAAGGATACAGCTACAACTCAGACATTGTAAAATGGTTTTGGAGATTGTAGAGGGATTTAACACAGATTTGAAGGAAAAGCTATTGCAGTTTGTCACTGGGAATGACAGAGTGCCTGTGACGAGAAAGGCAATCAAGTTTGTGATTATGAGAAATGGGTGCGATACAGACAGGCTTCCCAGTGCACAGACCTGTTTTAATATAGTAATGTTGCCTGAGTATAGCAATAAGGAGAAGCTGACAAAAAAGCTTGATCTTGCCATGAACTACACCAAGGGGTTTTATCTCATTTAGTCCAAATTAAATCGCTTATAAAAGGTCTATTGGCAACAAGCTTTAAGCTAAATTCCAGGGCTCACTGGCAGTCTAATTTTAAAATCAGTGTTAACCACACACAAAAAAGCGTTTTACACTATTTTTTAAAGGAATTAAGTCTGAATGAGATTGTTTGGTGTGGAAGTAGAGTAATAACTGATCACATTGCAGACGTAATGCGGAGAAGGGTATTGTAATGCGTAATGCAGAGAAGGGTATTGTAATTCCTCATTTATTTTCTTCTTCAAAAATATATTCACCTGACTCAATTTCCTCGTCAATTTTTCTTCTAAAAGGAACCACCTTACTCGCCGTTTCTTCCAATACTTTTTCGTTTTAATTTTCTTGCGTGTTTTATTAATAGGTGGAATATACCTATCCCAATTTTCCTCCTTCAAGGTCACATCCTTTTCCAATTTCTTTTAACCATCAGCTGCTTGATTAAATATGCTGAATGAACATTTTTAATTGTGTTTTCAACAACATTCTTCATTTCCTTAACTCCTTTGTACGGACCGTTACACGACACTGTGTCTTCTTGTACTTGCACGTAACATTTAGTCAATAGCTTCAGGGCCTTTATGAAATTCTCTCCCTTGCCTACTAGTCTGTCTCTTCTTTTTTTCGAATACTTTTCTTTTCCTTACGAGATTGTTCAATTCTAATAATTTCACAAAAAATGTCCTCTAGAATTTTTGAAGAGTCCTCCAGTGGAACACCGCGACTCAGCAGCTTCAAAAACTGTCTAACTTTAATTATAATGTACGGGTCTCTAGTCTGCTTGTTTGTCCTAACAACAAATATTGTTGTGATGTAATCTACTATTATTGACAATTTTTTACTTTTTAGAGTCTTTTCAATGTCGGAGAAGTTTTTTTTATGTACTTCTCCCTGTTGGACGGGAATGTGATCTCAAAATCACTTTTCACAACAAAGGCTCTCTTGAAGTCCGATTCGTCGTACTTCACAATATCTTTTTCCATATGGGTGGAAAAAATCATCCGGGTATTATCTGAGTGTCTTTTCTTTCTATTTCTTTGTAGAGGATATTCACGAAGCGAATTTATTTTCATGCCTCCAAAATCCTCTGCTAACGTATTATGAGCAAGGTTGAGGATTTATTATTGTGGTAACAGCATTCATAGAATGGCATTTAAAATAAACACGATTGTATTTTAGATAACAGCATAGTGGAGTGACGGACTTTATTGAAGTTATATTGTAACTTAAACTGAAACCACAACATGCGCATCCGATACAGATCACAAATTCGGTCGTTTATTAAGCCTCCTGAGTGTTTTATAAAGAAGAGTTCTTTCCAATCCAGAAATCTCTAAAAGAAACACCAAAGAAGCCCTATTGTCACTCGTTTTCCCACCAAGCATCAACAAATTTTCCAAGTAAAACTGGAACACTAGTTTAAAATCTATTTTAAATAACATGGAGCTGAGATGATTACCTGTCTAAGAAATCGAATTGGGGATGGATCTATTTTGGTAGCCATAGGCTGAATATTATTTATGGAGGATCTTAGCTTTGTTCTTTATAATTTTTGTAGAGGAAAAAAGATTATAGTGGTTGCGTATTTTGTGATTTTGGCTGCGATAACTGAAACGGCACAAATTCCCTTTTCTGGCTCACTTCCTGCTGCTATGGCGGCTTCAACTCCTGTATCAGCTTTTATTCATTCATCAACACTTGTAGCTGCTGGAGTTTATTTGCTTATTCGTTTTCACCCAATTATTTCTTCTGTTGGGGCAATAAAATTCATTTTTTTCTTCAGAGCACTTACCTATCTAGAATCGGAGCTCTTTACGAAATGGATCTTTAAAATGTTATTGTTTTGTCGACTTTGAGCCAATTAGGGTTAATAATGCTGTCACTAGCGGCTGGGTTCTGTGTCTTGGCTTTTTTTCATTAACTCATACACTATTTAGGGCTTGTCTATTTATTTGTGCTGGAAGAATAATTCATTGCGTATCGGGGGGGGGGGGGACAGGATGTACGGGATTTAAATGTTATGGGGCATTTTATGCCTTGGACCAGAATAAGATTGGAGTTTGTTCTTTTGCTTTAGGTGAAATTCCATTCTTATCTGCTTTTTACTCAAAAGATTATATTATTGAAAGAGGTTTCGACGTAGGTTTTGGAGTTTTTTAATCTTTTTTCTAACTGCTCTGTTATTCTTATAATAATGTACAGTGTGCGTTTAATTAAATATATTTTTAGAGGGGGGTATCTTATGATAATAGGAAGAATAAGAGACAATGCTTCTATGATATATCCAGAATTTTATCCATGGGGGCTATTTTTGGTGGAAGAATACTTAGGTGATTGCTTTTAGATTTGTCTTATACTAATTTATATTTTTTATATTAAAGTTGGTCTTCTATTATCGTTCATTTTAGAGTTGTTGATGGGAAGAACAGTATATTTTCTTCTTAGTGTTTAATAAGATTTTACTCTAGAATAATATGATTTTTGGTCGTTATTTCTACTAAATTTCCTTCGTTTGTGGGACTTAGCGTTAGTGGGCAAGTTTGAAAGTAATGGGATGCAGGGTGGAGAGAGAAATTTGACCCTAAAGGATTAAGAGGGGAAATTTTTGCAGTAGCTGGGGCAAGAGATTCTAGATTTCATTGATCTGATAAATATTATTTGTTTGCGGTACTTCTTATTTCTTTTATTGGAGCTCTTTATGTTTTTTGCTTCTATAGCTTATGTAAAGCAAAACATTGAAGCTGCTTAGAAAACTTTTGTTTAGAGACATTCCAAGAAGATATCTTTTCATTACAGTGAAATTGTAAGGTGTTAAAACTACACCACAATGAAAGAGGCGACAACGATATGCGCTGGAGAGCAAGTTAGAAGCTTGCTGTTTCACCTCAAATAGAAATTGTTTATTGAAGCCTTTAACAGAGGCTCTCCTTTTTTTGGATTTAGTCAATCTATGGCGATGTTCGCCTTCTTCTAGGTCGAAACTAGATGCAAATTGCTTAACGAAGGCAGCTAAGGGTCTTCGAACGAAATAAAAGATTAAAAATCTCTCTCTTATAGCTTTGGATTCTAATCTAAAACTAGCCTAAGGCACTTTTTGAATGCAACCCAAATGTTATACTTAACTATAGTATTAGGAGGATCATTCTAAAGCCACATCGGTAAATTCTTGAAAAAAAAGCCTAGGATCAAGGTAAAAATGAATAAGAATGATATAGTAAATCACGTATGAGAGGAGATGTGAAGGGGGGCCATTGGAAGGGATGAGAGGATTGCGATTTCTACGTCAAAAATTAGGAAAATGATGGCAATCATAAAAAACCGAAGAGAGAATGGAATTCGAGATTTGAAAAAGGGGGTAAAGCCACACTCAAATGGTAAGGCTTTTTCATGGTCCAATAAGGCTTTTTTTCCTATTCGTGTGGCTGCTGTAATGATGATTATTGCGGAGTATTGCCCACTCGGGTACGACACCCGGGTGTGTGCAAATAGTTGGTGTAACAGGGATTTATTTGACTTGTCGTTCTGGCTTCCGTCGGTTTCTTATTCGAGTAAACCGTCTTCTTAACTTATATCGTCGCAGAGTGTGTTGTTCATTGGTATGCCCATCTTATGGGTTTTGATCCACTTTTTTTGGCGGGTAAAATGTTTATTCTTGAACGACCTTCTTCTTGAACTTTGAACTCCTATTTCGACTGTTGCTGTCACGAATCTAGGTGTGGTGCACGACAACTGCTAAAAGGAGAATGGTGAACAATAAGTTAGAAATTAGTAATTTTTTTCCCTGATTTTCAGATTTTTTCCTTGGAAGTGAAATATAATTCTTACATTATTTGTTTTGTCTGATCGATTTTTAAACCGGAAAACCTTGTGCTTCTGAAATTTCAGGCAAATCCCAGACCCAGTCAGTGTCAACAGTTCCACAGATCCCTGCACAAAAATACCAAATAAAGGCGACCCTTCTCGTCAAAAATTGTCTTCGGTGTTAAGCCACAAGGAAAAAAATGCTGTCACACACTGTCCTCTTTAATTTCTTAAAAATGTTAAACATGCCAAATTTATTGTGATGGTCTCACGAGTAACACATCACTCAGGTTTCAAAACGTCAGCCCGTGACGTGAAAGAAAACCACGTAGTGTTTCCCATGCCTGGCAGTCCCAAACCTTTCGTTCCCATCAAAAAACAAATGACGGAAGTCTGTGAAGGTCACTGCAGACTTTTCATGTCCTCAAACCATTTGATTTCATCTAGATGCAGTCCATCCTTGTGCACATAGACACCAGAGGGCTGTGCGCCCTCTGCTGTGAGAACACGCGGCACTAGCAGCACTGAGTAGGTGCCCTGTTCAAAACCGGTCTTAATGAAGTTCTGGGTTGCCATCCCTCGCAGGTGGTTCCTGTTAACAAAGTTGCAGACACACGTAGAAGGATGGGGTAACATGGCGGTGATTTGTTGACAAATAATATGGAGGCAATCAAATTTCATGGTTGCCAACTGAGACCGAATGCGGTCTTCGTTGCCAGTCATAAACCTGTAGTGGCCGTGAAAAGACCAGTGAAAAAATTGACCGGCATGGGCTTAAATTTGACCAAATCGTGACCGTAAGCCCTCAAATAGCAAAAAACACTGAAAATTCCTGAGTTTGTAGCAAGAAAATTTAACATTTTTCTGGCAGCTCATTTACATTTTTCAATAGGTGACCAGTTTCCTTGCGATTATCCATTAATTACAACTTTTCTAGTTTTTTCAACAAACTCACTTCAAAATTTCATATTCAACCATCGGTGTTATTTGAATTTACCTACAAAAAATACAAATGACCGGCAATGACCGCCACTGAGGATCTGTGTGACCGAATGAAAAATTTTTGGTTGGCAAGCCTGGAATGAATTAGTGAATCGCAATGTAGAGTGAGGGTAAGAATTCACAAGACTCCATGGCACCAGTTGGGAAACCAGTTGACTCCCCAGTTGGATTTTTTTTCATGTTAGAAATAAAGAGTCAACCGGTTTCCCTACTGGTACACTAACTCAATACCTCCATATTATTTATCAACAACTCCCGTTCATTCGAACCTTCTGTGACCGTTTAAGTCCAAAATCAGGTGAAGCAACTAAAATTATCTCACCAGACGAATCGAAGCAAGGTAGCCAGGCTGCCAAATTGCAGTTTCACAGTAAAATGCCGAACCAAATAAACCAGTTGATTAATAGTTAATCAAAAGTCTACAAACAGATTAATCACTTTCTTTTCGTTGAAATCATAAAAGAATTAACCTGGGAAGAAAAAAAACGAATTATACTGTTGATGTCAGCAGGAGGCTGCCATCTGCTGTTCGCTTCATAATAGATAGATCAAATGGCGTGCCCCACAGAAAACATATTATGGATAGGCTTTTTGTTGAGGTAGGAACAAGAACTCTGCAGGAGTCGATTTGGCCAGAGTGGTTCTGGCCCACTCGGGGGGGTTCTGGCCCTCTGGTTCCGAGTGCGACGTAAAACTGCAGGCGTTGAAGGTTGCCAATTGCATCTATTGTCCCAGTTTGTCTCTCCTAACGCAATCATCACTTCAGCAATCACTGTAGTTCTGCATTCGCCGGGGGGCTTCCCCGCGACCCCCCGCTCCTAAAAAAGAATTCGGGGTTGTACTGCAGGGGTTCACATAACCAGGATGTAACAGGTTACAAGTTGGCAAAGCTAAAGTTGGTGTCATGCCCGCGTGGGTACGACACCAGGGTGTGTGCAAATGGTGTAACAGGCATATTTTTTACTTGTCGTTCCGGCTTCCATCAATTTCTTATTCGAGTAAACAGTCTTCTTAACTTATATCATCGCAGTGTGTTGTGCATTGGTATGCCCATCTTATGGGTTTTGATCCACTTTTTTTGGCGGGTAAAATGTTTATTCTTGAACGACCTTCTTCTTGAATTTTGAACTCCTATTTCGACTGTCGCTGCCACGAATCTAGGTGCGGTGCACGAAACTGCTAAAAAGAAGAATGGTGAACAATAAGTTAGAAATTAGTAATTTTTTTCCCTGATTTTCAGATTTTTTCCTTGGAAGTGAAATATAATTCTTGCATTATTTGTTTTGTCTGATCGATTTTTAAACCGGAAAACCTTGTGCTTCTGAAATTTCAGGCAAATCCCAGACCCAGTCAGTGTCAACAGTTCCACAGAACCCTGCACAAAAATACCAAATAAAGGCGACCCTTCTCGTCAAAAATTGTCTTCGGTGTTAAGTCACAAAAAAATGATATTTTACACAGTGTCATCTTTAATTTGTTAAAAATGTTAAACATGCCAAATCTATTGGGATGGTCTCACAAGTAACACATCACTCAGGTTTCAAAACGTCAGCCCGTGACGTGAAAGAAAACCACGTAGTGTTTCCCATGCCTGGCAGTCCCAAACCTTTCGTTCCCATCAAAAAACAAGTGACGGAAGTCTGCGAAGGTCATTGCAGCCTTTTCATCATCGCCTTCTTCTCGACCGAAAATCTTCACAGATTGTTTATAAAATAGTTCGTCTTCCAACTGCTTCAACAAATCCTTATCGTCCAAATCCAGATTAGGCAACTTGCGACCTAAATCCTTTTCCATCTCGTCCCGATTGGCCAAAAATATTAGGTACAGCGTGGTTTACAGCTGCCAGTAATCAAAGTCACGAAGGGCTTTGCTTTGAACGAGCTGCCAACATTGACACCGCAGACCTATCGTGCCGAGTCGCAGGACGGTCAGGAACCTTATGAGGGAATCTAGTTGTTCCCTGGACTCGAAATACTTAGTGTCGATCAGTCCAACGTGGAGTACGTAATCACCGTAACTAGATGTTTTCAGAGTCGGCATCAGAACTCTGTCTCTTCCCCAGTCCATGTCCTCAAACCATTTGATTTCATCTAGATGCAGTCCATCCTTGTGCACATAGACACCAGAGGGCTGTGCGCCCTCTGCTGTGAGAACACGCGGCACTAGCAGCACTGAGTAGGTGCCCTGTTCATAACCGGTCTTAATGAAGTTCTGGGTTGCCATCCCTCGCAGGTGGTACCTGTTAACAAAGTTGCAGACACACGTAGAAGGATGAGGTGACATGGCGGTGATTTGTTGACAAATAATATGGAGGCAATGAAATTTCATGTTTGCCAACTGAGACCGAATGCGGTCTTCGTTGCCTCTCATAAGCCTGCAGTGGCCGTGAAAAGACCAGTGAAAAAATTGACCGGCATGGGCTTAAATTTGACCAAATCGTGACCGTAAGCCCTCAAATGGCAAAAAACACCAAAAATTCCTGAGTTTGTAGCAAGAAAATTAAATAATTTTCTGGCAGCTCATTTACAATTTAATAGGTGACCAGTTTCTTTGCGATTATCTCGCTTATCTCGCTTCCATTGGCTTTATTTGCGACTATCTCACTTCAATTGGTTTCTTATTTGAGTAAACCGTCTTCTTAACTCTTATATCATCGCAGGGTTTGCTGTTCATTGGCATGCCTATCTCATGAGTTTTGATCCACTAGCTATTTAAGCCACTTTTGGAGGGTAAAATTTTTATTCTTGAATGACCTTCGTCTTGAATTTTGAACCCCGACGTGTCACGACGCTAGGGGGGTGCACGACAGTGGGTAACCTCGCAAAGTTGAATTTTCTCAGCCCGTGGTACCAGCGGGCTCAAAGCTCAAATAAGTTACATTTTCCCTGTTCCATACGGCTTTTGTGAAACTGGTCCGCCATGTTTGAAAAGTTTGTGAACAAGTTAAAACCACTGTCATGGACGACAAGCGCTGATTTTGTTTAAGCTCAGCATATTCACAGCAGTAATCACGTGTTATATTGTTAAAGATAAAAACAATCTTATTTTAAGAAAAATCAAAAGCCAGAAGCCCCTTTTACCGATGCCGTAATTCATTCAACATGAAATGGAAAACAAATCCTGCAACTGGCAGTTTCAAAATTCAAAAGCACCTCTTTCCATCAGAACACAAACAATCCCTTCATCGTCATCTTCCCCAAAACTCTTTATATATCTGTTACAAAATCACCCCCCCCTTTCAACTGTTTCATCATTTTCATTTCATAGAAAATCACGTTTCCCAACTTGCGATTGAAATCCTTTATCATTCCATGTCGATTGTCCAGTAAGCCCTGCACTGAAAGTTAAATTCTGCGGCGGAGGATTCGAGATTGCCTGACAGGACATAAACATAACAAGAAAGTAATCAAATAATACGTTAAAGCTTTACTAAGGCTGCAAGTGCAAGGTCAGTTCCATGCTTCTTGACTGACGAGTTAATTAATTAAATACGTTCCCCGTTACCTGATTAGCAACGTAGTTCTCCTCTCCAGGGGGTATGGACCAGTCGACAGGTATAGTAGCTGGAAGTTTTGCGAAACTGTCGAGCCGCTCGGTTGATGGCGCAGCGTAAAACTGATTGACAGCTGCCTGATGCTCATGTGTCTGTAGGTTCCCTATTTCCGTATCGTGAAGGTGCTTAGGATCATTGGCTCGCAATTTAGGTTCAGGTCCTCTGACTAAATTATTGGGATTGTTCGAAATTGCAGCGTGCAGAAAAGTACCGACGAACCGTTGTTGCTTCAGTTGACCTTGGTCATCAAGTTGACCCTCGATGATGGGTCTCATGCGTTCCTGGTTTACGACATTTTCCAACTGTGCTCGAAGTGGTTCTAGCCTCGTTTCTGCTACGGCGGCAGTGTCACTAGCCTGTCTTGTGTCGTGAACCAGAACAGCGTCTTCAAGTTCGTTATTTGGAATTATATGATGAAGGGCTTTCTCTGTTGGTGAGTCGGGGTCTTTAGGAGGAATGTCAACCTGAAAAAGTGAAGAGTGATTAAGATTCAACTCAGACATTTGAAAATCGAAATTTGAGAAATGTTTACCTTAAATATTTTGGCAAACATTCGACCACGAGGATTCTTTCCGCTTTTTATTGCATCGGCAAGGGCAACAGCATCACCAGGTTCTACTCTTAAAACGCCATCATTATCTCTGTACAATCCGGCAGTGAATAATACTTTGTTGGCCGAATCAGGATTCGTCTTCCTAATCCAATTTTCAGCAGCAAGCACTTTCAAAAAGCTTGCCGAATTCGATTCTATACTGTCAGCTGCTTCAACTCGGAGATCACAGGCAGATTTGCTGATCCCGTAACTTTCTAGAATTTTACTGAAGCCAGCAAACGCACAGTCGTTCGGACGACTGCCACGAAGTGACTTGACTGGCAACGAGAGGTACATTATGCGCACTGGTTGGAGCAGTAAGCCTGGTACAAAGTGCATGTAGTGAACTTGGGGCAACAGTTACAGAAGGACCGTCCTGACGTAACGTTCATCGTCCACCACTTTCAAGTTGACTCCGTTTCCTTTAGCCATTACTATCAATGTGGCAAGATTGGCCGGTTCCTCGTCATTCGGACCATGTTTCACGTACATCACTTGAACCCCGTTGTCAATGTCTTCCTGCGTCCTGACGTAACGTTCATCGTCCACCACTTTCAAGTTGACTCCGTTTCCTTCAGCCATTGCTATTATTGTGGCAAGATTGGCCGGTCCGCCGGCCCGAACACCATCCGCGATTAGTTTAACATTCGCGTCCGGCGTGCCCTGACCATGGTGGCCGCCATCTTGGCCTGCATGGTAGGCCATTTCACACTGACTGTACGCCACGCAATAATCAATGCTGTTGTACTTGATCTGCTCTTCAATCGTTCTAAATCTGCCGTAGTTAGCCATAAACGACCTCTGGGCCGGTGTCAAATCCTTTTTTTCCTTAAGTTCTTCGTACTTCTTCTGATCTGCATTGTGACTGTCTGAATTTTGCTCTTCATCCACGAAGCAGTAGTGCTGCAGTCGCTTGGAACATGCGGCAGTGAGGTTACTCACAGCCAGTGTTGACCACGGCTGCAACATTTGCGAGTCCATCACCCGTATCAACTGTTCGGCTATTTGGTCCGACACAGACTTCATCATCATGCTGAACGACTCTAAATCAATTTTGACAAATTTCGCATAGAAACTCTCTATGAAAGCAATGCTTTTGCCAACGTCAGCCGTCATCGAGGCGCTGTCATCGATTCCAAATTCTACTAAAATCTCATCAGGATTTGTCTCCCAGTCTTCCGAGATCTTGTCTATCTTTCTCTTGAGCTCTTGGGACTCCTTTACCAAGTCACTCTGGGACACTTTGAAATTGTCGACATCGTCGAAGATGTCGAGTTTCTTGAGCTTACTGGCAATTAATGCCGCATTATGCTTTTTAATCTTGAGATATCTGTGGAATACTAGACTAATCGTCATAGAGTTTCTATCCAGATGCCTGAGCTTTGTCACTAATGCTCTGACAACGTTGTCAGTCAGTGTTTGCACCTGATGGAGACCGTTGAGCGTGCCGATAACTCTGATAGCCATACTCGCGTTGCTGCCACACCTGCTCGGGTCAGACAGAACACCTTTGAGTAACGCATTTGGCTAGCTCAGGGTGACGAAGACGTACTTCAGCACGGCTCCTGACTGTCAAAGGCTTTGTTAAACTAGTTGAAATCTGACTTCAACTGCTCTCAAACACCGGTCCAGCTAACGCATGTAAAAGCGCAAATAGCCCATCAGTTCCGTGTTGCAGAACGACATTCTGACTCGATACTGCACCGACTCGCTAATCTTCGGTCTCAAAAGATCGAATGAGAAACTGGATAAACACCGAATGCCGGTGTTCAGACCCTCCCTCGCAACCGCCTCTGCAGCCTTTGTACAAACAATTTTGGCCGCCAAACTCTTCGCATTTTGGCCTGTTTTTATCAGCGTCTGGCCAACAACCTTTGCGTTACTTACGACCTGCGTACCGGCTTGTTCAAGCACTTCCCTGCCGACTCCGGTGGTCAACGTCTCGACACCCTTAGCAGCACTTTGCATGCCTTCTTTGCATTTTGCGTATCCTGCAGACATAGCTGATATGGCTAAACTGACTGCTTTCTGTTTGCAATAGTCACTCCGCTGGAATTGCCTTCTGCTGTATGCTCTGTACGCTGTAAATAAGTCGGCCAAACCTTCTGTTATGAGTCCCACTCCGACAGTCGCGCCGAAACCTGTAGCGATCAGCAAACCACCAGTGATGACTTGACCGACGCCGAGGGCAGCAACAGCAGACACGCTCCTCCAGGGAACAAACAGCTTCTCATTCATTTCAAGAATATACTCAATGCCTTTTGATACAAACTCATTCAGCTCAAAAGTAGGAGACGCGGTTTTCATAAACAAATCACACACATTCTTCACTTTTCTGATCTCCATGTCCTCTTGCTCTAGACTTGCGTGTTTTAGGATATACCTCACTTCCTTATCAGACAAATTCTTAAATTCTAGAGAGAACTCGAAATTCTCTTTCCGAAGCGTCTTGATGACCATTTCAGCAGCTTTCTGGTCCAATTCATCGAAACTCAGGTTCACTTGACCATCACCGAGGTCACTGCCATAATAATCGTAAATGTCGCAGAATGAAATACCAAACAGAACATTTCCCTGACAGCTTTTGACGATGTTCTTTGCTTGATCAACTGTCAACATCTCGAATTTGACGAAGCACATCGAGGTGTCTGTCTTCAGGTCACCGACTCGCTTCAGCAGCTCTTCCCTACTAACTTTTTCAAACAGACTCGTTTTGCTTACGTACAGCTTGCCGCAATCCAGTGATGCATTGTCTGCAATTACTTTCAGCAAATCCGATTTATTGGCAACAAATTCAACATCGAAACACCTGGCCTTGATTGAAGACAGTTTAGCTGTTGCAGCTTCTTGATTCAAATTGTCGAAATTGATGTTCAGGATGACTGATTCCTCACTATCCCTGTTTGATGCAAACCGTTTGCTAAGCTCGTTTTTATTTGCTTCCTTGATCACAATGTCGAAGCGGAGGGCACTGGAAGCGGCATCCTCCATTTGCTGTTCGACAATTTTAATTACTTCGTTTATCTGCTTGTTTTGGCAAGTCCAGTTCAACTTTCTGTCATTATTCGAGTGTATTGTCAGGTTGGCGCCGAACGAGCTTTTCTTCCCACTTGCATGCAGATACGATTGTTCTTTTTTGAGATTCGCTACGGCACTTTCTCCGGTTAGATCTTTAAATTCCTTGTCTGGGTTAAAGAGGGCGCTGTTGACTCTAGCCATGTCGACATGCTTCAAATTTATTCGGATATCCCGGCGTGACTTATCTAAACAACTATACCCGCTGGATTTAAACTTGGCCTTGGCAGCAGTCCTGAGCACTTGCAGCTTGGAAAAATAATTCGCTGCTGTGTTCAATATACTATTGTCAAATGCATTCTGCAAAGTTATCAAAGCCTGGTCAATCGTGCCTGAATCTTCTCTCGACGTCAAATGGTTAAACGTCAGCGAGTAATTTTTTTTGTCACTCAGTTTTAAATCCTTGTTCTTAAATGTGTTCAAGTCTGTCTCAAGTCTCTCCTGCTCGTTGAAGTGTTTGATAGTTTCCATGACTACAGCGCCATCTTTGTGCTTCCAAGTTGCAACGACGTCAATGAGACGCTTCGATCTCTTGATGGCGTTTATAGAATCACTGATGCCGCTTAGGTATGAACCCAATATTGCTGCCTTGATGTTGAGCTGTTTGTAGAGGTCGCTGTTGACAAACCCAGCCTGCTTTTGCTCCAACAACAACTGAGTAGCATTCAATACACTCATTTCATTCGACAGACACGTCAAAGCAGATTTGAATGATGACAAAGCCTCTTCTTTATAGCCTTTTTCTTTTAATAGGATCCAGCACCATGCAATGCCTGCATGCGCAGCTCCGGGACAGAATAAAGACTCGTCACCCTTACTCGATCCTGATTTCTGTTCCAGTTCAACTGCTTTCTCGAAATAGCTGAGAGCTCGTTTCACCTGTTCAGCCTTCGGTGACTGATTCGCAAGTATGTCATTTGCAATGCAAATGTAATGATAAGGATTTTTTATTACGCTGTTGTGAAAAAAGTCTTGCCTTAGCTGATTAATCAGTTCTTGGCACTTGGTCTCGGCATCTTCACATTTTATCACCTTCTCGTCTAGCTTGCACAAGAAACCTGCCCATTGCTCTTCGACAGCTGCGAGCACGCTGCACTCGTAAGTGTCCTGCTCCTTTCTGATCCTGAGGCGTATTTCGTCGTTTAGAAATGCGCAAAATACGTCAAACATTTTGTCTTTCACTTGAATCAGCTTGAGCTCGATGTCTTCAAAATTCTTAAGTTGCTCTGACTCAATTCCATCACGATCCATCTTCATACTTTTTGTTGTTGTTGTTGTTGCGTAACCGACCAAGTGGTGACCATTCAGAATCATGAGGCCGGTGCCACGCTTGCCCTGCCTGGCAGTTCTGCCAAATGCTTGATCTTCAACTCGCTGGTTGCTGGGCATGAATGTCAAAATCACGTGCAAACCCCCCGTAGCCTCAATTTCGTTCTCTGCAGCCTTTGTACAAACAATTTTGGCCGCCAAACTCTTCGCATTTTGGCCTGTTTTTATCAGCGTCTGGCCAACAACCTTTGCGTTACTTACGACCTGCGTACCGGCTTGTTCAAGCACTTCCCTGCCGACTCCGGTGGTCAACGTCTCGACACCCTTAGCAGCACTTTGCATGCCTTCTTTGCATTTTGCGTATCCTGCAGACATAGCTGATATGGCTAAACTGACTGCTTTCTGCTTGCAATAGTCACTCCACTGGAATTGCCTCGTGCTGTATGCTCTGTACGCTGTAAATATGTCGGCCAAACCTTCTGTTATGAATCCCATTCCGACTGTCGTGCCGAAACCTGTAGCGATCAG